CTAAGGCTTACGGCGTTCGGAAATGTATTCACGTTGCCTATTCAAACATTTTGAATACTGACGCTGAATTATGTATGGTTTTATAGGATTTCGCTCAATAGTTCGTCGAAATCTTTCTTCTGAATTCCTCAAAATCAACGAGCATAGATCTGTATGTATGAAGAACTATATTTTCCGTATACTATTGTCAATGATGCTTTTTACGATGTGATATGTTTGACAACTTTTGTGTAAAACAAGTACTAGTAATAAATTTGTATTCACTTGGTGTTGTTTACTTGAATATCCTCATTGATGTTTAGCACTGCACTTGATCACTCTCTCATTGACAAATGTGCATCATGTACGAATTGCCACTTGATTGCCTTAACTGGCAAGCATTATAATAAAAGATGGATGGTGGCTTGAAGTGGAATCCAGTTTGACGCGTATTTCGTCCTACATTTTGAACTGGTCAGATGTATGTATCTGTATTCCAGACTTATTCATGTTCATTCCGGGACTCGAACACAGTTGTTAATAGTGCCAATGTAATTTACACATATCTCAACGCTCGAGATATCAGCATATTCATTCAATCGTGTAATAAGTTTCCCCATCCATTCAACAGTTTCTTTCACTTTACTACTTCTATGAAGATATATTTATATATATCAATCTATCCAATATATATAAGTTCAATCATTCTCTTAATTCCTATGAAAACGTCATTGTGAATAAAAGTAACGTAGAATTCATTCTAATGAATAATAATTGAATATTTCTATTGTACAGTAATTAGTTGTTAGTTCAAACATCCGTTATTCAAACATACACATCCGGTAGATGCTTAAAAGTTATTTCTCAATCATTTAATTGACTATTATACAGCTAGCATTACTACTACCATTACTACTATTATAATTGTTAGTAATATGATAATTGATGCTTGGATGTTAACCATGAAATATTTTATATCTTCAATAGAATGTCCAAAAACTGTTTAACTCATTGTGTCTATCCCATTTGTCCTAAAGCTATTTGAAGCATGTTCGAAAACATTGAATAAGTCGGTTTTCTGTTCTGTTCATTTCAACTACTTACCATGTACTTGTAATTTCATGGATATAAGTTTAGATATTATATGTGGATTCCTTTATTGAACATGTTTATACTATAATATAACATCATAACATTCTCATATTCTAAACTGAAATGAAACAATTTGAATTTCCGACTGATTGTAGCTTCTTTCAATTCATAATTTTCAATGTTTTCTTAAATGATCAATGAATCTTTGTGAATATCAGTTTGTTGTTAACCGTTTTGGAAAGTATCTAACTCTTATTCTCTACTTCAAACGATGGTGTTCTTTTTCATAACATAAAACATATTAAGATTCAAGTATAAAACATTCTAAGTATATTTATATCAGTATTCTGATACTAATCAACATATGCTCACTAGTGACTGATTTCAAGAGGTATTTCTTGGAGTTCTAGTGTAAAGCAGTGACCAGTGGAATTCAACCGGATGTGTTGTGAAATAGTAACTCACTGATGACAGTGGTGGATGTGTCGATCAATTTCGTGGATTAATTGAATTTAGACATTAACACCATTGGATGCCGGTTCAGTGGCCCAATGTTTAGTCGTTCGCGTGAGAGACTGACAAGTTCTGAATTCGAATCTCAAGATGCGAGATCTTAGATGCGCGTTACTGAGGAGTCTCAAAATAGGACGAAATGTCTGTCCAGTCCTCCGAGGTTTCGCATGATGATCTAACTTCAATTGGCTCATGATCTCAGTCAAAAGCTCAATCTTGCTTCTGTTGAATATGAGAAATGGAGAAAACCAAACTTGATTAGTTAATATGTAATATATTTCATAGTCATTGTGAATTAGCACTGAAGAAACTGTGTACCTCTAATAGCGTTTTTTGACATTTCTTATTCATTCTTTTCATGCGCATAATATTCTGTTGCCAAAAAATGCCTTTTAGACTTAATTTGATTAAGTTTGAACACACTGGCTTCGTGTGTATCAATATTTATTTGATACAGAACTTAAACGGTACATTCAATAAATTATGGAAGATGACAATTCAATGAAGTAAATTTCCTTTTTTTGATGATTTCATTCAGTCAAGCTATATAATCCTATTCATAGTTAGTAATGAGTTATTTATTCTCTGAAGAAGTGACTTACACTAAGTCACGAAACGTCAGAAAATCCAATTTTCTACTCATTGGGATATTACAAATATATTATTTTTATCTATTCATAGTTAATTTTACTTGCCAACGTAGTATTCCATAATAAGGCAGAATGGTTCTAAGTATTTAAAAAGCTTAGTGGTATGTTGTCAAGATCTAAAAACTAGATACTGAATGGAAGTTATGTAATAATCAAAGGTAAAGTATTCAATTGATATCTCTTAAGAACTGAATTATTCGAAGTTCAATTGACTAGATGCTCCAAGATTGAGCTTTTGACTGACTTTTCTAATCCTTTCGATAATCAGGAAGGATAATGTTCGGAGATGCGTTTTGAAAGAACATGTTTCGTGCAGTTCGTATAACCTTCTCCACATGAACAAGTAAACTGATAGATGGTCATTGATTTGATCTAAAGTGGAAGCATATCTTCCACAACTTCAAATGATGAGTCGACTGGAAAAGGTAATGAGAATTTTAGCCGAATAGAACGTTTTTCTTAGAGATCTTGAGTCTTTTTTTCAGAATTTCTGTTTCAGTATCTTCTCTAAACTGAATGTTCATGTTAATTCTGGCCACTACGTTTCACCAGAAGCCTCGTTCAAAATCATATATACGATCAGAAGAGTCGGCTCAATAGGAATGTAAATGGAAAACTTATTTTTTCAACAGAAACTACTACAGTCGAGCATTTCAAGTCTAACATGTATGTACAATAACAGTATATTCAATCCCTCATTCTTACATGACCCTAACCTCCTTTCTATCTCCTATATTCTACCGTTTTCACTTATTTTATAATTTCTAGTCCTTTCCAATTATTTTGATAACTGCTGGTAAGCAATTATTACAACTTTCAATTATTCTGTTCTCCATGTCTGATATTCAACATGACTAAGAAACATTTATCATGTCCGCTATATTGTAAAGAATGCTATTACATTGTTAACAAACTAACATTAAGGGGACACTTATTCAGTCAACTATTAACTGGAAGTCCCAGTTCTTTGTAATGACCGACAGTATATCCTTACCAGGTGTTATATTTTTGAGTTTTCCAAGATTGTGGGTAAGCTATGTGTCCAGAACAGATGTAATAATTTCACATTTCAGAAGATACTAAGAGTCCATTTATACAGGACTCCTCTTTTTTCTATTATTGTATGATCCCGCATAAACACTGTCGAAACATTGTGATAGTGTAGAGGTAAGAGAGATCACCTCATAATTCATAGGGTAACGTCTAAGTTTCTGCACTGATAGATCATTCGGTATCATGTTTATATAGTCCCGATTGAATTGTCTATTGAGTAGTAATGCAGCCATTAGTCTAAGTGATTCAGCACCGAGTGAACCACGTTTTGATGTTAAACTGACTAATCATTGGGTAGTCACCAGGAGCCTACCTCCGATCATCTAACAAAAAAACACTCGTTTTCAGGTTATTTAAACTGGTAGCCATATTCCAGTCAGCACTAAGGTTTAGGAAAACATACCACTGGTTACAACTCTCATTAACTGATGCACATATCTCAGCCCAATGGACCGTCACTTACGCCCTAGATAGTTCAATAGTAACATCTCGGACTGTGAAGACTGGTGGTGTGGGTTCGAACCTCAGATAGGGGACCAACAACCTTCAAACCGCAGGTACACACTGCTGACGAGCGCCAACTAGTGAGAAACTTAGGTTCAAGGTTTCCTTTTATATCTCTAACCCCTTAACCCCCTCCTACGACGGTATTTGACAGAGTACCAACTACTGATCTGAATATTTTAAAGTGATCCTGAGTGACGAAGCGTCGCACTATTAAACTTATAAATACTAAGTAAAACTTCGATACAAGACGAAATCAAAACTCCACTAGCTTTAAAAGGGACTGACTGTTTGTAATTAGAATTAGATTCGTAATTAATTCGATGGTCATTTTGTACGAAAAAAATGCTAAAACCCTGAGGATTTCTCCATCTTCATAACTAATAGACGTAGTTTTAGCATTATCTTTGTTCCATGATTTATATATTGTCTAAATGCAGTTATCTTCGTATTTTGTAGAAACAACTTGGTTACGATTCTCAGCCATATGTTACCCAATATCTGTGACCATTGATTATAATTGTGCGAACCCTAACCTGATGATCTGCACTTACCTATAAGACTCAGTCAAACAGTCAATGACTTCATGGACCGATAACATATCTTGGTTTGACCCCCTCCCCTTCTTTTTCTTTTAATTTATTCCTAGACCAATGAACATCACGAGTCGAGGTAGGCCATGATAGAGCATACAAATTACATGTCCAAATTATCTTAATCGATGAAGATTCACAACAATATCGACTGATTGATTTGCCAAATACTATAGATATAACCTCAGTATTTGTCTTATGATAATTCAAACACATGTGAACAGTGCTTGAACGATCACATACACAGTACCTAATTTATTAATTTATTTGAACACATAAATACTGATACACTGGGGTACCAGATACAAATGAGCCACACAAATCTCATTTGATTTTCGTGAGGGCTGTGATACTGCACGGGTGCCCAAACCGAAGTAGGTGATATTCTCAGGGGGTCAACACCCGGAGCCTTCGACCTGAAGGTCTGATCCATAAGGCAGTGGAGCATCGTAAAGAGATACAATCCCATGGTAGCCAGTAACCAACGACTGGTTCATACATCATTTGTTGCTTCAGGATACTGGAGCCCATATGCACCATTGATTTGGAATCAGGGATTTCCAACTCGCCCAGGTGGACTCTCCGTGTCCACCAACCCGGTTAAGACTCAACAAATAATACCAAATACATTTTATTGTAGTTTACTTGATAAAATCTTTTGAATAATAAGGTGAACAAAAAATTAAGAATAAAATTGTTGTACAAAGATAATTCAATACTTCTATTTCACAAATGGTTAAAAAGAAGGCGAAACAATAACTGTTTATTTTTAAAAAAGAAGAAGAAACTGATTGTATGTAATATTGAAACATGGATCAACGACAATAAATGATACATTTAAACAAATCAGTCTATTGAATGGGAATATAGATATGTCAAGTGGGTTTTTTTCGTTTCTATGACCAGCCAAACATATAACCTAATGCTTTAGAAAATAATCCTGAATCTCTATCCTGTCGAACCTATTCAAGGTGATGAAGAAGAAGAAAAAATAGACGATAATAATGAATGGAACAATTAGTTTCAATGAAGTTAAAACGATAATATAGAAATCTATATTGTTAGTAGGAAGTATAAACACAGTGGGTTTTGAGACAGTAGATAAATGATTAGTGAAAAGTTGTGAAGTAGAATAAAAATAATGGGGTAGGTCAGTTTTCCTGATCTTTGGTTGATCAATCTAATCTAAAAAATAATTACTTCTTTAGAGACACAAAATTGAATGACAATCGTCATTAAATCCCATTGGACAAAATCAGTCAGTCAGCTACAATGTAGGACCAGGCAAATATATGCATCGGTCCAAGTTGCCATACCACATTAACACAACAAGAGGAACACCGAATTCATAAGTGGTTAAGTCAATGGTGGTAATATATAAAAGAAAGATTCCATATAAGGACAGAGTAAAGGAAGGAAGAATTAGTTCATAGAAAGATATGAAGTGATTTTAATCTCTTAGTTTAAGGGAAGACAAAGAGTGTATTCACCCACACCATTGTGATCGGTTCTAAGCCAGGTCACTCAGAGTCTCCAACCATTGGTTACGATAGTCATGCGGACCCCCAACCAAGTAGTCTGCATCTACCAACATAGCTAACACTAGAAGTTAGTGATTTTCAACAATCATGCTACGTTTTGGTTTGGCCGCCCCTAACCCACTGGACAAAAGAATTACCTAAATTCAAACAGCATGAATCTATTCTATGTTTGGATTAGAGAGAATATTAAGTAAGACTCTACTTGAAGACAAATCTGGTAACACAAACAAATTTTACGGCAAATTACATTAGTTATCTTTCTTGACCTAAAAGCAACAAAAGATTCCGCTTAAAATAAAGTCTAAAATAGATAACTTGCATAATTCAAGGAAAAACTGGTTTATATTTTCCGCCTATGCCAATCACATTAATCTCACTGATGCAGTTAATAATTTATTCAATATAATTAACAACCCTCTTTTTCATGAAAACTTCTCACATTTTCTGTTGACTATCAATTAGAACACCAAATGAGTTGAATCAAACAATATTTCATTAGTTAAACTGACAAATAGTTCGGCAATATAAATTACATACCAGCTCACAATAAGTACAAAGATAAGTTTGTTTTTTGACGTAAATTTGAGTGATAGATTTGTAGTCAATTAAAATATTATCAGAAGATGGTTTTGTGGAAATTTTAGTAATTTAGTAGTTGAATTCATGAGTCAATTGAAACTAAGCCACCATAGAAAACCTGGAAGCAATGGACGGCCGTTTCGTCCTAGCATGGGACTTCTCAGTAGTGCGCATCTACAATTGGTTGAAGTTAGACATTAACACTGTTGAATGCCGGCTCATTGATCTACAGATTAAGCGTTCGCGTGTGAGACCGATACATCCTGAGTCCGAGTCCCAAGGGGTGGGATCGTGGATGCGCAACGCTGAGGAGTCCCATACTAGGACAAAAAAGCCATCAAATCCTTCCAGGTTTTCCATGATGGTCTAGATTTAATCGACTAATGAATTCAACTATTAAATTAAAATATAATTTAGGTACAATAAAGAAAATTTTGTCATATTTAATTAGTTGAAGAACAGGATTAGATAGAAAAATATCATAAAACAACTGTTTGGTAAATATTTATCAAATAAATAGAAAACCAAACTGATTCACCAATAAACAGCTATCCAAGTTGCATAATGTTTTTTTTGTTCTAGTCTTTTTCTTATTAAAAAAAACACGTCAATTAATGAGTTAGTTAAGCCTATTAACTAAAAACTATATGAAAGATGTTAAATGAAATCTGAAAGAGGTTGATATCGTCACTTATATACATTTATTTAATACACATAGATAGTTGTACTTCTGGGGATCAAAAATACTAAGTGCCATACAGAAGAAAGAGGTGATATCGTGAAGAAATAAAGGTGTACAATTAAAAGATGACTAAATAAGAACAGTATATCATGCGATTGATACTTTAGTTCAAAATATTATTTTTTCTGGTTAGTGTCTTTTAGTGAGTTAGTTTTTTACGGGATGGTGTTGCTAACCCATTGACCAACCCTCCTCCTTTATCTGGGCTTAGGGCCAGCAGAAGCCCCAGGGGGCTCCAGGCCTCAGTTAAGAGAGCCCCTCTCACTTTTATGAAGAATGTAAAAGAAAACCACCGTAGGATATCACAACTAACTTCTATTCTGAGTCATATCTCATAATGCTTCAAGTCACTGAGTTACACCACCTCTAGAACTGCTAACGGAGAGTGTTAGTGAATTGACAGATGCCAGTTGTATGCAGCTTTCTTTCATATCAATATGTCATGTCATAAGTTCGACCACCTCTCCACTTATCCCACCCAATCTTATTGGCAACAAATAATTCCCCATGCGGAAGTTGCTGAGAATAAATATTCATAAAACAATTACAACCCATTAAGTCACCCATGAGGTTTCTCAGTATAGCACATTGAAAGTTAAGAGAAAAACAAAAGTCTCTAATACTTTTGCTTCTCCTTCATGGTGATGATTGTTATGAGAATACATGTATTTCATCGGTAATTTCTTTAAAATATTCCTCTTGTATAACAAGACTATCAAATAAGTAATATTCGAGTTAATCACGACAAACATAAGTTACCAACTTAGATGGACTAGCTGAAACGTGCTGCGAAACGTGGTCACTAAGAATAGAAGATACTCGTAAGCTACTAATATTTGACCACAGATGCCTTAGAAATATTGCTCTCATCTGCTGGGATCACCGGGTAAGTAATAGTGAGGTTAGACGTTGGGTGTTAGGGAATGATGATAAATCAGTTGATGAGGTTGTAAATCTTTATTAACTTAGGTGATTGGGACACGTGTTGCGTATGCCTGAACACCAGTTACCACGACGTGCAATGCTAACCGGTGTTGGGGATGGTTGGGAGAAAATTATGGACAACCAAACCAAAACGTGTCATCCGTGCTATGTTAGTAGATGCAGACTATTCGGTCGGAGTCCGCGTGACTATCGTAACCAATGGTTGGAGACTGTGAGTGACACGGCTCAAAATCAATCACAAAGGTGTAGGTGGATACATTCTTTGTCTTTCCTTAAACTGCGAAATTACCTCATAAATTTCTTTCTTCCTGTACTATATGGAATCTTTCTTTTATATATTACCACCATTGACTTAACTACTCCTTATGAATCCGGTGTTCATTTTGCTGTGCGAATGCGGTATGACAACTTGGACCAATGTATATATGTTCCTGGTCCTACGTTGTAGCTTACTGACTGACTGACTTTCACTAGTGTACTAATGAAAATACAATAAATCAAATAAAGTTTTATATTACATTTGTTCTCATTTCATATCCTTTAACCTATGAAACTGATACAAAGCACTATATCAAGTACTCGATGAAATATTAGGCCAGTAATACTTAAGACAATGGTAGCTTTTTGAATGTGATTACACAAATCATTTATTATGTACATAGCCCGCTGAATTTTAAACTATGACAAAAAGAGCTAATCAGTAATTATTAAGTAATATCTATGAGTCGTATTAACTAAGACCCTTGAAAATAAGTTTCACAACACAGTAGTAACTAAACATAGATAGAGTGAAGAGCCCTGCACCGAGGAGAAACACCTATTTAGTCCTTCTTCGTTTTCAGTGATAGTCAGTCTAGTTACGATAAGTTTGTGATTTAAACTATGGAAGTTTGATAACAATTCAATAATGAGACTTACACTTGTAGTTCGTGATAAATTTGTTGGTCGTGTTGATGCAGCTAATGATCGCATAGAATTATGTCTTCCAATATTATTTGCTGATTTGTCTGCAAAAATATTAGCAGAATCAATGCCAGAGTTATTTGCACCATTACCAACGCCACCGACACCATTCAACGACCTTAGTCCGCTTAAGTCGCGTAATGGTGTTTTATTCATTGCACCGGTTGTTGTTTTACAGTTTTCATCAGTAGTACGTTTCATATTCATTGGATTATGATGAACATTTGATGGACTAAGGAATAAAGAATCATTCATGCTACATGGGTTTGTTTGCTTTGAAAACACGCCACACTTTTCATCATTCATAACTTCCTACCAATAAAAGAGAAAACATATTTGAAATAAGTATGAAAATGACACGGAAAAAAATACCAGAAAAGTACGAAGCTAAAAAAAATAAGCTATGAATTCATGGATAAATATGTAACGTGATTTAATAATGCTGGTGGTTTGTGTTCGCTAACCATATAGTCACAACCCAAGATGATTTGGAGGTACTGCACTGAAGTATGGGAATGAATAATCGGGGGCGGTGGTGATAGTTAATCTGATGCTATTATCTTGTAATGCAGGTCTCGATTGCTTAGATATATTTTATCAATGTGATCCCAGTGGCTTCCACATTGGGAATCATTTGTTGCCAATAAGATTGGGTGGGATAAGTGGAGAGGTGGTCGAACTTATGACATGACATAGTGGTATGAAAGAAAGCTGCATACAACTGGCATCTGTCAATTCACCAACACTCTCCGTTAGCAGTTCTAGAGGTGGTGTAACTCAGTGACTTGAAGCGTTATGAGATATGACTCAGAATAGAAGCTAATTGTAATGTCCTACAGCGGTTTTCTTTTACATTCTTCATAAAAGTGAGAGGGATTCTCTTAACTGAAAGTGGTTTTTGTTGGTTACATTTCGAACTCAAGTATTAATCACATGGCTTAATATTCTTATTTACTCATCTTTTAATTGTACTTCTATTCCCTCATTGTGTTCCTTATGATGTTATCTTCTTGTTTTGTCTAGTGCATACTTTCCTTGGTGCCTAATTATACCAGATTTACAATTATTCGCTAACTCTGGAATACATCTCTCAGAAATACACTGCCAATTGAAAGTCACAATACAAACAAGTTCAAAGAATCGTGAGCAACATACGTTCTGCATGACTTGAGAGATAATAGTCAAGAATGTTTTAAAAACTATCAAATACAATAAATAGACTCTTCCTGAAGACTAACATTTTATAGTGTCGGCACAACGTCACTTAGTGAAACGATACTCACTTACTTACTGGTTAGTGTTTTTTCTAAAGAGTTAGTTTTCTATGGGATGGGGTCGCTAACCCCATACCCAACCCTCCGCCTTTATCCGGGTTTGGGACCGACAGTAGACCCAGAGAGGCTCCACGCGGAGTGAAACGATAACATCTTAAAACGGTTTAGAATTATTTCAATTTCATTTAAACTTTTAAAATAGAATTATCACACATAATGGGAAAGTGGTGAAAGCAAAATGAAAGGCAACATATTAAGAACTTATTAAATCTATACTTTTAAGTCAGTCAGCTACAACGTAGAACCAGGAACATATACACATCGGTCCAAATTGCCATATCACATTAACACAACAAGAGGGACACCAAATTCATAGAAGTAATTAATTCAGTGGTGGTAATATATAAAACAAAGGTTACATATAAGGACATAGTACAGAAAGGAAGAATTAGTTGGTAGAAAGATATGAAGCGATTTTTATCTCTTAGTTTAAGGGAAGACAAAGAGTGTATTTACCTACACCAATGTGATCGATTCTGAGCCATGTCACTCAGAGTCTCCAACCATTGGTTACGATAGTCACGCGGATCTCAACTAAGTAGTCTGCATTTACCTACATGGCTCATATTAAACGTTAGTGACTTTTTGGACTGATTCCACGTTTTATTTTCGCCATCCCTGACTTTCTTCCAACCATCCCCAACACCGGTTAGCATTGCGGGTCGTGGTAATTGGTGTTCAGGCATACACAACACGTGGCCCAACCATCTCAGTTGATGAAGATTCACAACCTCATCAACTGATTTACCATCATTACCTAATAACCTGCGTCTAACCTCACTATTACTTACCCGGTGATCTCAGCAGATGAGAGCAATATTTCTAAGGCATCTGTGGTCAAATACTAGTAGCTTACGGGTGTCTTCTACTCTTAAAGGTCATGTTTCGCTGCCGTAAAGTAAAACAGAACGGACCGCCGCGCAGTATACTCGACCTTTTATTGATAGACAGATATCTCGCCTTCGCCAAAGGTGACGCAAGTTGGCAAAAGCTAAACGAGCTTTTCGAATTCGTGCTGAGATTTCTTCAAACACCAACCCATTAGGGCTGATCAGACTTCCAAGATAAGTGATGTTGTCAACGCGTTCGACTACTTCACTCCTTATCCTTAGTTCAGGTGTTGACGCAGGCCAGTCCTGAAGCAACAACTTGCATTTAGAGGGAGAGAAGCGCATTCCAAACATCCTGGCATTGTTGCTCAGTGCTACCAGAAGACTCTGCATTTTGTCAGCGTCTTCACCAAACAGGACTATGTCATCTGCGTATTCTAAGTCGATAAGTGGACCTTCTGGATGGAGATCAATACCCGAGAACTCAGTCGACGAGAAAGTTATTTCCATCAGTAGGTCTATGATGAAGTTAAACAGAAATGGAGAAAGTGAACAGCCTTGATGGACACCACTTGAGGTTGCAAAAGTAGGTGACAGTTCTCCATAAGCTCTGACTCGACTAGTAGTGTTCGAGTAAAGAACCTTTACAAGGTTTACGTACTTCTGAGGTACGCCTTTCAATGAAAAACAGTGCCACAGAATCTCGCGGTCTACGGAGTCAAGTGTTGCTTTCAAGTCAAGAAAGACCACCATGGTAAGGTATAAACTGTTTAGTAAGGATTGGGAACTAGTTAAATGTCAATAAATGAAAACTAGAATGTGTAGCTTACTTAAAATACTATGAACTAGAAATGAAATTGAATATCTGACCTAATGATTGACACTATTGAAAGTAATTTTTTTTAATAGGCATAAAACTTCAACGCAAACATGTATATTTATATAATCAAAAGACATTTCCACCCTTACCGAATCATTACAGACTGATACACCGACCATGGTATTATCCCCGAATACTTTACCATTTTTATTTAAAGCACAATGAGCTTGCATTTTATTTTGATATTTAATATGCATCCAATTACCACTGTTTGTAATCTAGAAGAAGTTTTGAAAGGAGAAACATAGAAATAGATAATATCATGATTATAAACTAGAGATCTTGAAATTGGATAATAATGAATGGAAAATGATTATCATCAATTATTTAAAGGATTATTATGATTGTCAACAAATGGAATTAGATATGGGGATTTCGATATGGTGTTACACATATTCTTTGATGGATTGCGATAATAATGATGGTACTGTGATGTGAGCTACTTATATTCATATAAGTAGTATATAACGATAGTCAGGATTAGAATGTATTTCAGTAGAAGATCGATAAGAAAAGAACGGAAACGGAACGCAACTGGCATGAAAATGCATGAAAGATGAAATCTGTGACGATAGACTGATGCTTGCAAAAGAAATAGTCAAGTTTGAGACGATGGATTGATATTTTGCAAATTAAATATTTAGTGTATGGGTGTGATATTTTAGTGAGATATTGTGTAATTTCGTGTTGAAATACATTCGATTGCCCCCACTTGTGTTCTAGTTTACTACAGTACTTCTTGACTGATTATGAAACGTTCGCCATGTTACACTCGTCTTGCTTCACTCAACACAAGTAAATTTAATCACTATGGGATATGTGCGAGAATTCTAACTGAATGTGATTCAAGTGTTAAACTCTTGAAATGTGAAAATGAGTTTTGCCTAGATGTACCCTATCACTGAATACAATTAAAATAATAAATTCATAAGAAATCATAAGTTGGTCGGGATTTAAGAAATGAGGAATAGAATATTTTTTGACTCTGAAACAACATAAACCACAATTTTACGTGTGATTCGGTCCAGGAATCCGACCCAGTGATTTAAAGGTACAGTAAATGTTTCAAAACTTGCAGGTGGCTCTTGGATTCAACTGTGTATTATATTGCACCGTTCATTGCAAAAAGTAGCCCGTAAACAAAAAAACATCCGATGTTGACAATTTCGCCAATCGTTCTTCAGTTCGTGACACGAACCATCTTCAGACTACACAAATCTCTTCACTAAACACCTTATTCAATCAGTATTATGCGTTACAATGTGCTATTGCGTAATCAGCATTAATAACTGACTGGTTGTTTTTCTATTCTCCGTATTAAGTAACCTATTCCCTGTTCCCACTTCTACGCTTTTATTTTAGTTTATTCTCTGTATATGCTGAGTCAAGAGCTCTCGTTTTATGTTTTATTCTTACTTTTAGATATTCATGGGCTGACCAAACCAAAATCACTTGACCGATACTAATTTTATATTCAGTTACAAAATCTATCGACCAATGTACAGTTATAACTAAGACGTAATTAAGAAAAAATAGCTCAGATTGCATAGTCATTTAATTTGATTATTAAAGAGTTATGCTACTGACTCGTAATAAGTACTATGAGTTAAAACACAAAAAATATAAAACCACACACTAACCACATGTTTTTCTATTGTACCCAGTTGAGCGAACTGGTTAAGAATAAATGCAGCTCGTGATGGAGGGAACCTAAATTTAGGTCGTGATAAGATAGAAGAAAACTTTTTTGAAGTTTAGACATAAAGCAGATCATAAATCATAACCTACTAAATGCGAAATAGCCTACGATAAGTTACATTTTATTGCTTAAATTTATTCATCTACCATTTCAGTCAGTCAATCACAAACTACGTAGAACCTGGCATAAAACTGTGTAAGTTTAAGTTCTCATACTACGCTAACAGAATAAGTTAGAGTTATCAAAATGAACACCAAAGAATAAATGCATCTAAACCACTCCAACTAATTCTGAGCCATGTCACCCAACCCCTCAAAACATTGACAACGTTTAACGCGCGGACCCTAATCAGGTAATCTGCATCTACCAACATAATTCAGTTCAGTGGTTGACGACTCCATGGAATTATACCACATCTTGGTTTAGCTGCCTCTTGTTTTCTTCCAACCTATTACCACTCCACACAACAGCGTGCATTGAGATAAGTGGTTGGGTGTACATAAAATATGTTCAACTAACTAGGTGATAAGGTTTCTTAATGCACCATCTCTAACTAATAGCCCATGTTTAACCTACGAGCTGCTTACTTACCACATACGAGCAATCCTTCGAAAATTCTTCTGATTAAATACGACCAAGCCATACAATTTCGAAATAATTAAAGCTATTTTGCAGTCCCAAAACAATACGGAAAAAACTGTTGCATAGCATTTTTGCTTGTTGATAAGTAGATGGATTTCTTAACTATGCAACAAACAGTTCGAGTTAGCAAAAGGTATATGAACCTTTTTGAGAGTGATGGGATTTCGTAGGTCAGCAAGCTGCTATAAATAAAATTTTCTTGGTAAAATAAACAACTTCACTTCCTACGGCCAAATTAGGGATTAACACATCCCTAGGTTTGAACCTCGATTTAGCTACTTCGGTTTAGGTAGCCGGAGAGTATTATCAACCTTTACAATTGAAGCATGGCTCGAAGTCAAGTACATGAATCGATACCTGGAGATGAGTTAATAATAATATTCACATTTAAAGTGCCTTTATTACTACACTTGGCATAAGTAACCTTAAATGTGTACTGTAATAATGTTAACATAGCGAAGGATACATAAAATAGTCAACACACATACCCGAAAACAGTTACCCAACAATCATGTGGATTCGCATTATCAAAGTCGTTGGAACTAATAAGCATGAAAAAACAAATAGGAAAGAATAATAAGGTTAAATGAATAACAGTTAGCAATGCTTACTTAGAAATCATTCATGTATACATTAAGTTTCCTAAACAGATTAGGTCAATCTTCAATTATTGTAATGAATGGTGACAATGTTATCTTTTCGAACTCATTGTTACATTACACATTTTATTTGTATTGTAATCAACTAGAAAGTTTATGGAAAATGAAGCAGTTAAGTATATGGCCACTAAGTAATTGGCCACTAAACATCATAATAGGCGCATATTGATTTACTTGTCGAAATGTAATCATTTATGATTGAATCTACAAAATTAACGAGATAGATTACAGTTCATATAAAGACTATTAAAGATCAACAGTGGACTTTACACACAATCTAAAAAGGAAAATTTTAAGCAGAATACTCAATACTTGGAGAGCAGATAGATGTCACAAGTAAACGAAATGGACCAACAAGAGAATGACAACAGATTGACTCCTTGTAAAATAATTAGGTATAGGTTTATATCAATTAATTAGTAGATTCTGCTTTGTGAGACTATTTCATTAGCTTATTTTGATGGATAATTAACAGGGGGAAAATTAACTTCATAAAGATACTCGACATAATCGAATAAACATGTACATGGTTGTGGTTCATGGTGCAAACTAATAGTAACAGACAAAAAGCAAAGAGGATTTTCGATGTCTGAAGGTTTTCGGATATGCTATAGTTTAAACCTGACAACAACAAGTACTGACAAGACCTTCTGAATAATAATATATTTTTAACTGCAAATCAAGGAATATGCCACCCGTTTACATTTTATGGCATGAAAAGTGAGAATCTGATCAGGGCGACATTTATTTGAGCTCATATAAATTACTTGGAAATAAAGTTAAACTGTTATTAACTTTTCATAACCAGGATCACTTCCATTACTTTAGTGTAGCATGTTACCCACAAAGCTCATTTGAATAAGTGTGCCCAAGTGAACGAGTAAAGTAAATATTTGGAGAAATGGGTTACCTTCGATGTGAAAGCAAAGCCTCCGCTAAACGATCAGGTGTACTAATACCATCTTGCTTCTTATTCCCATCGTTTATATTTGCAAGAATACTGTTATTATGGAGTGGTGACCCAACTAAAGGTGGGCGATTATTTACAACATTATGCAAAGGTGTTCGATGATAACTAGAATCACCCGGCGACTGGAAAGGACTAACACCTATTTGTTTTACAGGAGGATTCGTCGATGAACCAAGAGTGTAATTTGGTGTACTGTGTTTTATTCCACCGAAATTTTCTGCGCTGGGTTTTGAACGGACACCAGCACCACCAACGGTTGACCACATACTTCGTGTAGGAGGTGATGTTAAACGACGTCCGATTGACTCATGCGCTTGACTTAAATAACGTGGTTGCAGTTTGTTGTTATACTGTGAAGCCTAGAAAAATATATAAAGAAATCAGTTGGACGATTGATTGGTAATATAAGAAAAGATGTAAAAAATAGTGTTCATAGTTTTAACTTCTCAATTAGAATAGGTCCCTATCAAAACTATTCAAGAATCGATTAGTCCGAATCGCTTACAATTTGAAACAAAAAAGTGATTTGGAGATACAAGCAAAAAGCTTATGAATAGTGGATCACCACACAACAACTTTATAGATCGTAAAGTATTAATATTTATTTATTTGAACACATAAATATTGGTACTAGAGGGCACCAAAAACATATGCGCCACAAAAAACAATGAGAATTCGAAGAGAAAAAAACAAGGTAAGAAGCGTAAAAAAAGAACACCAACGAACAGATTAGTGTCAGGTAGTGTACTAATAATAATAATATTAATAATATTAATAATAATAAAAATAAAAATAATAATAATAATAATAATGTGGAAAACGGAAAGGTACAATCAGAAGAAATCTTTCACTTAAGGAAGAAACAACCATCTTTATGAAGAAAGTAAAAGGTTGCATCAGGAACTCCACCAGCATCTATTCTGAGCCATATATGATAACGTCTCTAGCCACTGTGTTGCACCATCTCTAGGACCTCAATTAGGAAGTTGTGAAGGTCCAACAAAAGCCAGTCATGCACAACATTCTTTTATACCTCAACACTATGTCATATTACTGACCACCGCTCCACTTATAGCGACTCACGTGCAAATAGGTTTATTCTCATTTAACTCAGTTAAGCCCTTTTGCTAACTTATTTAGCGGACAAAGTCATCCGTACTATAACAATTTATTGTACCCTTATTATTTTGTGCTTGTATGAAATACGTATGCTTGAATATTGCTTACTGCCTACGCATTTATTCACTCTGCTAGTCTTACTACTAACCGCTTATTCAATTCGATTACTCATTCATTTCACATGGTATATATATGTCCATGTTATTCATATCCAACACTCACTCACTCACACGCTCTTGCTCTGGCTCTCTCTCGCTTGCTTGCCTTTCGGCACAACTCTTCTATGCTTATTTAACGCATCTGTACATTTGGATATACGTGTGTGGTCTCGCAATAAACGTAATCAACACTTCGTATTTGCCTTCTGATTAATATACCGTTGGGGCGTTATAAGGAACGGTTGGCAAGACGAATTAGATACAAAGTTTAGGATTATAGCGGATACCGACCACCACACACTCTTCCCAACCAGTCCCATCACCGGAAAATAATACACGACGTGGAATTCTATGAGACGACATTCGTAGAACATGTCCAAGCCACCAAAGTCGATGTTTCAAGATGGTGACACCAATTGCATTATTGTCTCTGCGCCCGAACACACTATGCCGAAACTCTGCATTACTAACATGGTGTTGCCACTGGACATCGGTAATCATTCGGAGACAACGATGATCGAACACAAAGAGTCGTCTAGCATCCTCAACTCGAAGAGGTCAGGTTTCACAAGCATAGAGCAAAACTGCTCTCACCGACGCATTATAGATCCGACCTTTCACAGTCAAACTAACATCACGAAAGCGTCAAAGATGACCCAGATTGGCATAAGCCACTCTGGCTTTCACTATACGTGCATCGATCTCATCACTCACGCCACCACCAGCATTTATGCAGCTACCTAGATACACGAACTTCTCAACTACTCCTATCTGCTCACCACCCAGGGTGAGTACAGGATTAGAATCCTGCCAGTCTTGTAGAAGTACTTTGCACTTCGAAGGTGTGTAAAGCACATACCATACCTACGGACACTGATTACCAACTGATTAAGTGCGGGTTGTATGTCTTGGGCATTATCGTACACTAAGACAATATCATCCGCATACTCAAGGTCGAGAAGTCTTTCTCCAGACAACAGATCCACACCGCCATTACTTACACCCATCAGAGCTGTTTCCAGAATGTCGTCGATGGCAAAGTTGAAGAGGAATGGTGAGATTGGGCAACCCTGTCTAGCCCCATCGGTTGAACGGAGCAATTGAGTCAGGTGGTTGGATGCCTTCACTCTGCCTGAGGTGGTTGTCATTAAAATTCATAGGCACGCCCTTCTTCAACAGACAACCTCAGGGAACAGTCCTGTCCAACGAATCGAGGGCAGTCCTGATGTCAAGAAACACTACGATTGTTGGCCGGTGATAAGTATGGTGGTGTTCTAACATTTGGCGTAGGGTGAAGATATGATCAGTAAACCCTCGACTGGAACGAAAACCAGCCTGCTCCTCGCGAGTCAATCTTTCTCGGGTTTTCAATAACCTACGAAGTATGACGGAAGCCAGTAGTTTGGACACAATCGGAAGTAGACTTACTCCCCATGATGGTTGCGGGAGCGACGCAAACCTTTTTTAGAGATAGGGACAACTATCGATTCATTCTAAGACTTTGGAACACTCTAGCTAGAAACAGGTTGTGGTCTGTCCATAGTTGCAATAGACGGTTCCATTATGTGTCCTGCGACCAACAAGTCCCCATCGACCACCTAAACGATTCTCTTCTGTGCCTAGATGCCCGACCTGAAAATTCAAGTCTCCGGTCAGTACTACAATATCTGTCGAACGCACTTTCTGGAGAACAGTTAACTGGTGGTAGAATTCATCCTTGATTGTATCCGAGCTGCAATCTGTCGGGGCATAGGCGGAGATGACGAAAAGACATCGTTTCTCACGCCGATTTCTCCTCACTTTGATGGAACTTTTTAATCTAACAGCAAATAACCGATTGTTAATGAAGATACAATCGAATAGTGCTGCCTCAGCTCTAGCGCTTAGTGTGACACCAACACCGGCAGGACCAGACGAAGATGCCACAGGGTCCCCGGATAAACGCACGTAAAACGAGCTTTTTGAAGCAACAGATGGAGGGCGAATTTGTAGTACTTCACCAGAGTCTTGAATACGCGTCTCGGATAGACAACAAACATCGATATCAAGACTTTCCAAAGATATAGCCAGCCCTATATGTTGTCCGACCTGCATAAATGTGCGAACGTTGAAGGCAGCCAGTTTGAATGGTGCACGTGGTTTCAGAAAAACTGTCTCAGCACACGTGTTCGGTGGTAGCACTCAACTTTCGGTCACTCGGTGACTCAAGATCGTTTAGACAGAACCGAGTTTCCACCATAGGCGAGCTGATGTATAAGTTGAGAAATAAGGAAACACTAAATGGGAATGAAAGAGTGAATAAATGATAATAGTAATAATAACAACAATAGTAATAATAATGTGAACCGTTTGATTGTTAATCGAAGCAGGACAAGTATTTTCCATAAATATCGACACTTCATCATATTTGTGTGTGGGCTGTGATACTGCCCGGGTACCCAGACCGAATCAGGTGGTTTTCTTTGGGGGCCACATCCCGAGCCTTTGACCTAAAGGTCTGGCCCACAAGGCGGTGGAGCATCGTGAAAAGATGCAGTCCCATGATAGCCGGTGATCAATGATTGGTTCATACGCCATTTGTTCTCGCGGGATACTGGAGCCCATGTGCACCATTGGTTTGGGATGCGGTTAAAGCACCGGGCATTCGCTTTTCATCCTCTCATTTTCGTAAACAACACCCCTGCCACGAGAAGGCAGTCAGTAGAACTTTCCTGGCAGAGGCTGCATACGCGTGGTCGTGTGAGAGTATTTCGAGAGGGATGGAGGACCCACCCCTCTCCGCCATACCAGGGCATTTAGGGGCGAAGTTCAATAGGACATGTATCATCAAGCTACATACGGATTCAATTTGTTCGAATGAGGTACACCTAGTGTGTGGAGGTTAACACGGAAAATATATGGCTTTTTAAGCATCAACTGGATCCAGATTTATGTTAGATTATCAATACTAACCAGTCATACCTCAGGTATAAGAAGCACTGCAAACACGACTCTTAACAGATGGTCTATAAAGATTGTTTTTGATCTATGAGGAATATATGTACCAGTATTTATCTAACCAACAACTTTTGCTGTCCCAACGATCACGTTCAACAGGATTTAATATTTCATAACTCTCACAACCCACTAAAACGCTAGACGTTGTGAATTATGCATAGTGCGTAAAAACCAATGAAATCATCTAGTTATCTGAAAATTGTCAAATAGTCGTTTTCAATTTATGATTTAGTAGTTAAGACGGATGGCTATACTTAGGAACTAGCAAGGTAGCCCCTACTACCCAGTAATGCCGTGGGCAAGTCTTAGGTCGGATTATGCTGCCACTTCAAAGACAGTAATATTGTTCGGATGCTTATAAGGTCGTAGAACCGTGTCGTTTCCTTATCTGATCACCATTGCATCTTCCAAGTTCATTGGAACTCACTTGTTAAAACAGAAGAATAATACTCACTTCTTAAAAATAGTTCCACGGTGCGTCACAGTACAACTGTGACGATTACTAATCCGTTTCACTAGAGAATATGAGACCAATCAAAACAGTTATCGAGTGGTGTAATTTCAACTACATCCTTATTTAAACAAGACAATAAATAAGACTCAGTTTACTAATAATATGCATTATATTATTAAATTGCTTTACGCCATGACTATGAACTATCATATAATCAGTTGTCATTCGACTGTCAAGACACAGGTGCACTGTTCCCAAACACAACAAATAACAAAAAACATGTTGGTTAGGTCCAATTATAGAATTAGCAGCAATTACCACCATGAAATCTGAGTAGCTTATAGGTGCTTAAACTAACTAAAGTGTGAGTTTAGATATTATATAGATAACATAACTACAAAACCTCCCTCAACATAATCCTTGAAAAACTCACTGGTATATTGTGCGAATTCCCAGAAAGTGAAAATGCATTTTGGCGTGAAACTTTAGATTCTGAGCTTGTTGATGCCGTCTCTAAGACCTGTGGATTTTCACTCATTAAAAATCCTGGAAGATATTGGCAAGTGCCTGGTGAAGTAATTGACCCTGTCCCAATCGAGTTTACTGGAGGAGAACCTAGAGTCATAGGTTCAGTATGGCTGAAAGCAGAACTGTGCATTGTTCCTCCTTTACAAAAGAAACCACAAGTACGATGAGCAAACTTGTAATAAGGTCCAACTTTTATATCAAGTATTTGCATTTAAAACAATCGATGACCACCCTATTACAAACCTCTGGCCCAATTTCGCTGACCCAGAAACGTACTCACTGAAGCGAAACATGCGAAGATGGATCGAAGAGGTGTTAGGAAAATATAAGTGACATAGTAGTTGCTGCTAGTTGCAGAACATCAGAATATTTAAACAGTAGATATTGAGGAATCAATAAAAGCCTGTCTTAATAGAGTGATAAAAAGAATTGATTAGCTCCAGATATCGGAGTAGTACTTTAGTTCCCCTTAGAGTATTTCGTATTGTTTAAAAAACCTGAAATGAGTGTTAGACTCGCAGAAAACTGCCGTGAGCAATTATCGGAGAAATTAGGGTCTAAACTTCACTACCTGCGCGGCAATACTTGCATGTAAATGGTTTTGAAACAGTCTTAATTCAATATGCTAGACGATTTTCCGGTAGAAAATCCTGTAACATATATTAATCTCCTTATTTTTGGGTGGACTTGAGGGTTTTTCACAAATTCCAATGCTCTTCCTCAAAGTCTAGTGGTTTTTCCAAAGTTTGGAGACTTCCTCAGATCTAGAGAAACCTCGAGATTTTTATGCCATTCCCGCTAAACGGAGAGATTAGGATACTAAAACTTCTGGAGTGTACATCTACGTCTTGTATGACAGTAGTCCGAGTTTCAGGACTATGTGTAGTAAATACTCATTACATGATGCCAGATGTTCGGAAACATATGGAAGTTGTGGAGGTAAGGAAGAATACAAAATGATGCTAGTAGATAGCTTTCCTTATCTCGAAATTACATTTTGCTGGAAAAAAGTGCCATAAAAAATGGTATTTAAAGCAATAAAGTACATAAATAAATTTAACCACAACGAAAATTCGCATCCCCACAATACTAGCACCGGCGGACCACAAGTGACCTTGTGGTTATAGATCCCACTAAAAGACCCAAAGAAAAATTTTAAACAATTCAAAATTCTTGATTTTCAAAATACTCTCGACTGCTTCAAACAAATTTTTGTCATTGTTAATTGCTTAGCATTCAACCAGCCTGTGGGCCATACTTTTAACCACATCGGCAAATCCAGCATAACCAGGTTTGTTATTACTCGCTATTTCTCGAACAGTCGTTGCCTTCCTCTTTCCATTTTTCTTTCAGTTCAGTAATACCCGGGGGGTTGTGCATCACTCAGCTAACTCCGGCGCGCGACTACTCACAATGTATTTGGAACCAGTCCAAACGCCTGTTGAATCTGGTAAAGGAGTATTGTAGACCAATGAAATGGCACGGCCCTTTCCAAAACATCCAGGAGTTATATCATTGAAGATCGGGCAATTTATCGGTCCTCATCGAGGTCAAGGACAACCAACACTCATCAGTCCATTGCAACCCATGAACTGGCCCATGCGACAGTGGTCGCATAGTGTTTCTTGTACTTACTCCTACTAGTATATTTTGTATTAAGGTTGGTTGTGTTGTACAGTGCCCCCAAATGCCATCCTAACATTGCTCCACTGCCTTGTAGATTAGACCCTTAAGTAACAGGCTCCGAGTGTGTCTCTCTGAGAAAACCACGTGCTTCTTTCTGAGCGCCCATACAGTATCACAGCTCACACAGAAATCAAACGGATTGATAATTAAAACTGGAAATGCTGTTCTCGCTTCAATTAAAATTCAAATAATTCACATCCATTTGACAACATTCATTTTTTTGCAAACTATATCGCTTATCCCTTCTTTTTAATTACCACTTAGTGTATCCTTATTTCTCAACTTATACATCAGCTCGCCTATGGTGGAAACTCGGTTCTGTCTAAACGATCTTGAGTCACCGAGTGACCGAAAGTTGAGTGCTACCACCGAACACGTGTGCTGAGACAGTTTTTCTGAAACCACGTGCACCATTCAAACTGGCTGCCTTCAACGTTCGCACATTTATGCAGGTCGGACAACATATAGGGCGGGCTATATCTTTACTTACTTACTTTCTTACTTACTTACTTACTTACTTACGCCTGTTACTCCCAATGGAGCATAGGCCATCGACCAGCATTCTCCAACCCACTCTGTCCTGGGCCTCCTTTTCTAATTCCATCCAATTTTTGTTCATCTTTTTCATGTCTATTTCCATTTCTCGGCTTAATGTGTTCTTTGGTCTTCCTCTCCCCCTTTGGCCTTGAGGATTCCATGTGAGGGCTTGTCTTGTGACGCAGTCGGGTGCTTTCCTCAATGTGTGTCCTATCCACTTCCTTTCTGATTTCTTCCTCAAATGGGATCTGTTTTGTTCTCTCCTACAGTACGTTGTTGCTAATAGTGTCCGACCAACGGATCTGAAGTATTTCGCGTAGACAACTGTTAATAAACACCTGTATCTTCTGGATGATGGCTTTCGTAGTTCTCCAGGTTTCCGCCCCATACAGTAGAACTGTCTTGATATTTGTATTGAAAATCCTGACCTTGGTGTTGGTTGACAGACAGTTGTTTTGAGTTCCAGATGTTCCTCAGTTGTAAATATGCTGCCGATCCACGCCTTCACATCTGCATCAGATCCACCCTGTTCATCAATGATGCTGCCCAAATATGTAAAGGTTTTTACATCTTCCAAATCTTCTCTGTCAATTGTGATTGGATTAGTGCATGTTGTTTTTTATCGGAGAACCTTGCTCTTCCCTTTGTGCATATTGAGACCTACTGCTGCTGAGGCTGCTGCTACACTGTTCGTCTTTTCCTGCATTTGTTGTTGCGTTTGGGATAGAAGGGCCAGATCATCTGCGAAGTCTAGATCGTCCAACTGCATCCTAGATGTCCATTGTATCCCGTGCTTCCCTTCAGATGTTGACGTCTTTATGATCCAGTTGATCACCAGGAGAAATAGAAAGGGTGAGAGTAAGCAACCTTGCCTAACACCGGTCTTCACTTCGAGCGACTTTGTCAACTGTCCCCCATGCACGATTTTGCAGTGTAATCCATCATAGGAATTCCGTATGATATTGACTATCTTCTGAGGCGCGCCGTAGTGTCGAAGAAGTTTCCATAGTGTTGTTCTGTCCACGCTATCAAATGCTTTTTCATAGTCAATGAAGTTGATGTAGAGTGATGAATTCCATTCAATTGATTGTTCCACAATGATCTGTAGAGTTGCGATTTGGTCTGTACACGATCTATCCTTACGGAATCCTGCCTGTTGGTCACGAAGTTGGGCGTCTACGCAGTCCTTCATCCTGTTTAACAATACTCTGTTGAAGACTTTTCCCGGTATTGAAAGAAGAGTGATGCCCCTGTAGTTATCACACTTGCTGAGATTGCCTTTCTTCGGTATTTTGATCAGAAGTCCTTCTTTCCAGTCTTTTGGTACTTGTTCCTCATCCCAAATCTTATTGAAGAGAATGTGGAGTATCCTTGCAGTTGCCGCTACGTCTGCTTTCAGTGCCTCTGCTGGAATGTTGTCTGGTCCTGCTGATTTGCCACTCTTGATTTGTCTGATGGCCATGCTGATTTCTTCAATTGTTGGTGGGCCAACGTTGACTGAGAGGTCCGTGGGTGCTGCTTCGATGTTGGGTGGGTTCATTGGGGCTGATCGATTCAAGAGTTTTTTGAAGTGTTCTACCCACCTGTTTTGTTGCTCTTTAATGTTGGTGATTACCTCGCCTTCCTTGCATTTCACTGGTCGTTCTGGTTTGCGGCGATTTCCAGAGAGTTTCTTTGTCGTGTCATACAGTTGTCTCATGTTTCCTTCTCTTGCAGCCTTTTTCGCCATCGTTGCTAAATCTTCCACATATTTACGTTTGTCGGTTCTGATGCTCTTCTTCACTTGTTTGTTTACTTCTGTGTATTCAGCTTGTGCCTTGGCTTTTTCTGCTCTTGTTCGACTGGTATTGATTGCTGCCTTTTTGTTCCTTCTTTCTTGAATCTTATCCAGTGTATCAACAGTGGTCCATTCCTTGTGATGGTGCTTCTTGTAACCCAGGACCTCATGACATGTTGAAGTGATTGCCTCTTTGATCCCCTTCCAGTTACTCTCCACAGTAGTTCCTTCTCCATTAAGTAGATCATGAAAAGCCTGGAACTTACTGCTGAGGACTAACTTGAATTTGTTGAGTTTGTTAGTATCCTGAAGAAAGGCCGTATTGGACTTTTTTTATATTGTCCGCCCCATGGTCCAGTGCTTCTTGAGTTTCAATTTCATCTTGGCGACCAGCAAGTGATGATCTGATGCTATATAAGATCCTCTCTTGGTTCTCACGTCCTCTATAGTCCTCCTGAACATTTTGTTGATGCAAATATGGTCGATTTGGTTTTGTGTAGTGTGATCTGGTGAAGTCCATGTGGTTTTGTGAATGCGCTTATGTGGGAATATGGTGCCACCTATGACCAGTTTATTGAAGGCACATAGGTTTGCAAATCTCTCACCATTTTCGTTTCTTTCTCCCAGTCCATGTCGTCCCATGATGTCTTCATATCCAGTGTTGTCCGTTCCAACCTTGGCGTTGAAATCTCCCATCAGAATGGTCAGGTCCTTTGTTTGGCACTTCTCGACGATTGACTGCAGCCTATTGTAGAATTGATCTTTAGCGTCATCATTGTAGTCGTTGGTAGGCGCATAGCATTGGATGATATTCATTGAAATGCTCTCCTTTTTTGTTTTGAAGGAGGCTTTGATGATCCTTGGTCCATGAGATTCCCATCCTATAAGCGCATTTTGCGCTTGTTTGGACAGCATGAATGCAACTCCTTGTGTATGTGGGGCATTTTCTTCTTCATGGCCGGAGTATAACAGAAGCTCTCCTGAAGTTAGTCGTTGTTGTCCAACTTGCGTCCAACGTGTTTCACTGATCCCAAGTACCTCTAGGTTGTATCTTCTCATTTCTGCAGCAATTTGGAAGGCTCTCCCGGTGTCCCACATTGTACGAACATTCCATGTACCTAAATAAATGGTCGCTCTGGTTGTCACAAGGGGCATCGGCCTCGTAACTTCCGAACGAATTCGGCTTTCATCATGAGGCGTCATAGTTCTTCTAAATGAAGACCTTATGACTCCCAGGGCAGAGGTTAAAAGGTTTGAATAATTTTTTTTGGTTAGTGTTATGACCTTGAGTATGTCTGGTTCTGCTATCACGCGACCTATCTACCAATTCGGAGACGACTTATACGAATTTTACACTAGGCCAACCAATGACGTTCAACCGGTGTGGGCAGTCTAGCGTCCTTATTGGTCCTATGTACTACGAGCCCTTCCACTTGAGTCCAGAACACAATACCAGCTTCGAATTAGAGCAGATCGTTTATTTCAAACATACTCGGTTTATATATCAAACAGACAGACCACAACACACCATAAATTAGGAAATAACATATGTACACAAATAAGCCAAAAAGTGGCTGTGAACGAGGGGGACAGTAATTAATAGACTGAACATAGATAAAGAACCGTAAATCGTAGAATAATAAATTATAGATCAAAATAAAGCTTATAATAAGAGGGATATAAATTTACATAATCTAATTATTCAATAGTTTTACAATAAGAATATTTATAGAATATTTGTCCATTAATAGACCTCGGGAGTTACCTGTAATTTAATCTTCGCTCGGATATAACACCTCCCCTTTTTTGAAGCATTAGAGATAATAATGATCCTTAGGATTTATTTTTATTCGATTAGGTTTTCGTCTGATGCGCTGCGACCTCCTTGGGAATGTTGCATACGTCTTGTTATTATTCGGATCATTTTTAATTTCACTATTCGACTCAGTTAATATATTTATTGGTATATTTGACTTTGTAGCATTTTCTGTCTCCCGCTCTTGTCTGGTTGGCTGTATCTGGTTTGCATGTCGTACCCATATCTTTTGTCCAACTTTTACTTCGTAGATAACTTTCCCTTTTTTTCGTATTATTATGCCAAACTTCCAAGTTGGCTTTACTCCCG